GTGGCTGACTAAATACTTTTTTGCCCCACTGTATAACGCTGCAACCAAGGGATTAGCTAAGTTTCATTTATCAACCTGACTGAGCATGTGGAGGGAAAAAAGCTACAAAGGGCTAAACAAAAGACACATTAAAAAAAGAAATGTAGAATAATTCCTTGGTGAAGCAACACTGAGTGGCTGCTAAAGCTAAGAGACAACTACAGTTAGGTGTTTTCATGGTCCTGAGTCTGATGACTCAGTGGGTCACCCTAACTTATATCGTACAGTGCAGCTACCATTTTTAGATGCCTCAAGCGAAGTCCAATTCTGACCACTTGTGTCATATCACCACAGACCTTAAACTTGTGCACAGCGAACATTGGCTTCAGCTTGAAACTGACCCAAATTCCACCCCCCCCCCCCCCCCCACCCCCCCCAAAAAAAAACAGTTCAGGTTTTAGCAGAAATAACATGTTACACTTAGCATGTAATAGATTTGGGGAGAAAAGTCTTAATTAAAAAAATACTTTACAAGATACTTTCATTTCAAATAACCACACCAAATAAATGTGGTATTGTATGTTATACATGTGTGTATAACATACAGTTTAATAAAGGCTAACTAAAATCTAGGCAATAAAAAAGCAGTAGAGAATAGAAGTATTTGTAAATATATAAATCTCTTTGTAACAAACTTTACAACATTGATGCAGGTAGAATGAGAGACCTCAATAAAGTACAATATGCAGTACAATACAGAACAATGTGCATTGATATTACAGATAGTGAAAAGTAGTCAAGTAAATTTGTTCAATAACAAGCAAAAAACAAATACGTTTCAAACTGACCACTAAATAACAAGTGTAACGACCCCGATTTGAAAATGTAGGGAGTACAAATGCTAAAATGTAAGAAGTAGAAGTAGAAAGTAGGCACAAAAAAAAATACAGCAATAAAGCAATAAACTTAAGTACAGTAATGAAGTATTTGTACTTCGTTACTTTCCTTTTTTTTTTTTTTTTTTT